TACTAGGCAAGAGGGTAAGGAATTGGTATCTGTGAGGATGCTCAGGACAGACCACCTCAGCAACGAGTGGAAGGACAGCCTACAACATGTACAGCAGGCAGGAAGATTCGGACATCAAGCCGATTCTGAAATGTATGAAGGCCAGTGCTCCCAAGCCCAAGTGGAACGACGTCTCAGCGATGAGTTCGACCACGAAAAGCTATTGGGACCAATGGTACAGTTTGCTGATTCAGGATGGAGTTCTGTGCCGTAAATGGGAAAATGATTGGAGTGACCGCTGTCATTTGCAAGTTGTTGTCAAAAGTAGAGAACCAGAGTCCCTTTTTACTATAAATAAGGCATTTCATATTAGTCCTCAGGGGTGACAACATATCTGCATTTTGATAAATAGGGGGATGAATGTAGATAGTCTATGAGCCACAGCATCTACTATCAGGTAAACTATGTGCTCGTTTGTATCCCTAATTCTATTAAAAAATTGCAATTTATAGGAAGATTTTTCCTAAAATTAACTATATTAAAAAACCCTTTAGTATTACAGTAAGTACAGTGCGCTAAAAATACATCAATTTGAGATTAAAATAAATAATATCTGGTTTAGGTGACCATAAAAAATAGGAGCAATGAAGTAGTTAACAACTTGCGCCAAGCGACAACACAGAAATGTGGGCCCGCGTTATAAACCAACTCAAAAAGGACAATGGAGAAATAATATGTGATGGAATTATTAAGCGTCTACTTAAGTTACCATTACAGATATCAATAAAATAATTTACTTTGTAATATCTAATCAAGCTTATGGCCTATCGAATTCAGAAAAAAAAATTATCTTACCTAATTTAAAACTAAATTGATTAGAGGCAAATAGTTGAAGGAATTATTAAGCGTCTACTTATGTCGCCATTACAGATACTAATAAAATAATTTACTATGTATTATGTAACCTAGTTTATGGCCCATCGAAGTCTGAAAAAAAACATCATACAAAATTCAAAACTTAATTGACTTAATTGTAGTTGTTACGATTCGTCAGTCAAAGGTCTTATACCATACAGCCGAGTTTGACGTGTATTTTATTCAGAAAACTCTTCTATATATACTAATGCGTTCTTTAAAGATTACCTCTATGCTAGTAATTACCTTATATAAACATATATGAAAATTATATTGACTAGTTGTTGTTGTAACGATTTGCCAATTAGGGCGTTTTATACCATAAAGCCTAGTGTGATGTGTGTTTTGTTTAAACTGTAATATCTTTAATTCCTGACTTCTTGCGTTAGTATGACCGAAGACAAAAATGTTTAGGATTTTAAACTCTATATTTTTACATATTTTGTATTTGTAAACGCAAGAAAAAGTCACATAAAATTTGTTTGGGAGTTCGCCATTGTCCTTTTTGCTAAAATAAGTACTCAGGCCTACTAAAACCCAACAAACTACAGATAACTTTTTTGTATGCATATTTTTACGTATACAGAAAACTAAATGATAGCATTTGGTATAATGTTGATTAGAAATGTGAAGAATCATCGTGTTTTTAATATTTTTGGGGCGATGTAAGCATAACAACCTTACAAGTGTTGCAGTGGTATGTTTCGAATTGGATTCAATACATAGTTTTATTCATACACTCGAAAAAACTTTACCTCTGCTAAACATAGGCCACCCCCAAGGTACCCTCTCATGCCACAAAGCACGGTCCTGAGCCACCTGCAACCACGGTCTTCCTGCATCTCTTACCAGGTAACTCCATTTAGTGGAGAGCCGCCCCAAAATTTCACTTACCGGGGAACTTTTCTTTCAAATCCATTGTCGGTTCTTCGAGCTATATGGTTTAGCTTACTAATTCGTTGCGCTATGTCGCTTATTCATGTCCTACTGAGGGTATCCTCACGCGGATAGAAACTCCGAGCATTGTCCTCTTCATAGCTCCTGACCGACCTTGAGCGTTTTTATATGGCCAGCAGTAACAGATCACGTCTCAGATCCATATGTCATAAATGGCAACACGCATTTGTCACACACTTATTTTAAAGTTTTGAGGAATGAATAATAACCGAATTCTAAATCACGCTATCGAACTATTCGAACAACTCAGCATTTATAAAACAAGCTCCGTTCACCTTGCTCGGTTGGATATCTCTTTCTTTACTTTTAATCTCTTTATTTCTTCCCTCTTTTACTTCCACAGCCTAAGTTAATGTGTTTTTTTTTCATTTTACATTTAGAGCATTTATCGTAGTGAACTTTCTAAATATATTCTATATCGTTGGTTTATTAAAATACTAGATAACAAGCAATGAGCTATTATTATGTACTACGTACTAGAGGCGACACTGCATTTAGTTACGCTGTACCATTCAATTGCGGCGTTAGCGAAGCACTTTACCTTTACTCAGTAATTCGCTAGGCGCTAGTGAGTTGACACTTGACAGATTGACACGTATTGATTAATTATATTTAAAAAAATCTCGATAAAATATACCTTGGTGTGTTTTAGATATAATTCATATTTCAAGTAATAATTAATTTCAAATAATAATAATTAATATTTCAAGTAATGTTAGCAAATACCAAGTGATTACTTTTTATCGATTAATAAGATATAATCGGTTAATGATAAAAAAGATTAATAATAAAACAAATTGTTCTTAAGGCGCCATCTCGTGTCATGGAATATAGATTATGAAATTAATGTGTTCAGATGCGACATTTCTGTCCGTTCTTAAGTATAGGACGAATATATTATTATGCTCAATTTATATATATATATATATATATATCACGCCTGTCACCCAGAGGGGTAGGCAGAGACTACGGACTTTAATTTGGCACGATCCTGACATACCTCTTTCGCCTCCTTTACATTCATATATCTACAAATGCTCACCGGTTAACCAACGCGAACACCGAGTAGCGCACATTTTTTGTTTGAAATAGCTGTTCCAGTACGTAAGCACATATTGGCTGTGTTTGACAGAAAAAGCGCTAAGAAGCGATTGTAAGCAAAATGGCGATCATAAACGGTAAGCGTTGTCAAATGGTAAATAGCTATTTTCCTCTAGGACACGAAGTTAGCTTCAACCGAACCTAATTTAAATATATGTTTGGAAAGTATTCATATTAAAAACTTACCAATCAGCATTTTTTAATAACATGTATAATATGTTTATTCATGTCATTATATTACTTGAAACTACTTGCATAAAACAACTTATAAATTCTACTTCAAAACAAACCAAATAAATAAGCAAAATGGCGGATTGTGTCAGTATCAGCGCTACTGAAGTTAGCAAACGTGTCCTGGCCGAAAACTGTATAGTTTTGCGATACTGCTTACAAGCGCTTCCTAGCGCTTTTTTCTGCTAAACACACCCATTACTTTAATGATGATAACAAGCGATTTTTTTTTAATTTTGTACTATAAAAAATTAATTCATATTCCTACACTGTCATCAGATTCTAAGTATATTCAAAATTTCAAGTCTCTAGCCAATCGGGAAGTGCTCGGAATTTGAGTTGCAACATTCCACCCGGAAGCCCGGAACGATTAACAGACAGACCTACAAACAAAAAAGTGACTTAATAAAAAACGTGGTAATATTGAAAGAAAAGCCAAATACAGTATTATGACCGACGCGATGTTGAAAATAACAATTAGACTGGTTTCTATTGCGTTAAATAGAATCCTACCAAAACGTAAATGTGAAAAGGGGCCAAGTTCAGTACAGACGAGACGCGACGTTCGAGGTTATCAGCTTCGCTGATAAGAGTGGAGCTATCTGAGATAGCTTCATAGCAGTTGCTTAAAGGGGTGACGCCCGTTCAGATTTCAAATTGTTTGTATCGAACAAGGTCTATAATTAATTTTTTGGGATATAATTTAATTTTGGAAACAGATTTACACTTTTATTAATCTCAAAACCACTCAACCGTCCAAGCCGCGCAAGTGATTCTCGTTCCACCTGTCCGCGTATTAAATGTCTCTTTCTGTTTTACGACGGCACGAGACACTCAATAAAAACGATTACTACTCAAAGAAATAGCTACATTCAAATATAAAATATTCTCGAAAAGCTCAAAAATTTCAGAATTTAATTTTGTTAAAACATAGTTGCTCAAATTAAAAATAATGGATGAAAATATTGCTTAAAGATGGGAATATCAAAAAAAAATTCCATATTTATTTTTTATATCTAGTTTTACAAGAACAGTATAATAGCTACTGGAGAAAATTATTTTATATTATAATAGCCCAAACCCTTTAAAATAACACCAATATCTCAATATTATTTAGTTAATATAGATAAATATATTATATTTACTCAATATAAATATTCACTCCCTAAAGCAATCATGAATTGCATGAGTTGCATTTTAATAATTTCTAGACACATCTCAACAAATTTCTTTTATAAATGGTTATTTATTTTCGGGGATATAAAGTCACCGTGTCTTAACACCTTTCTGCAGTTAGATAAGTTTTTTACTTTGAACTCGGTTAACAGTTGTTGCATTCTGTATAAAGATCACTTGTGGTACAGGGTATCTCAACACCCAAAATCGGATTCATGTTCAACGGCCTACATCGTCTAATAAACAATTGCGTGTATTACAGTAATCACACGGCCGTGGAAATCCTCTATCGCCAAAGTTAAATTCACTACAATTACTCGTATTAAAAAGTAAAAGCAGACTTCAAAGAACTCAAAATGATAAAATAATGTTTGTATAATAATAGCTTCTGAAATCAGTACTAAGATATCGTGTTTCACTGTAAGTTCATCGTCGTTACGTATGATGTATAATATTGCACCTGCCACAATAACGCACGGGTCAGTCAACCCGTGGTGTAATGCCGTTTTGTTAACATATTTATAAAATATAAATAAATAAAAATATAGAAGAGAAGATTAGTAAGTTAAGTACTTTTACAAAATTGGCACATATATATTACTCCTCTGCACAGTTATGTAATAACGTGTTAAAATAAATACCGCATAGTTTAATCCTGTAAGGTCTGGGTCACCATTTTTCAACCAATCGTAAAATTCCATGGCATTGTCAGTGGGATCTCCTTCACCGTAGGTGGCCATGCAGAAAACAGCCAATGAATTTGGAATGCCTGGCAATTTTATGAGTTCTTCCTGCAATTTAATAATAAAAGTTCAATTAACTCTTTCTTTTTCAACAGTTTTGCTACACATGGGACTCTCTCATTAAAAAAATAAAATGCCAAAAGCGCCATACTTATGATTGCAATACCGAACTTGTTAGTTACGACATTGCCTTAAAATTTACGCAAATATAAAAATTATCTAAAGCTGCTGCCTACAATATCTGAATTTGTTGTTGAAGTTTTAGTGTACATTTATAATAGTTAACTTTAAACCCACAATATTATGTATATACAAACGATATTATATTGTATTATATGTGGTAGCAGTAACAGTAAAATCTAATAAAATTCTACAAATTAAGAGCTATATTCTTATCAAAAAAATCGTGTTCTGGTAGGGTCAAAAAACTTTAGTTTTACTCTTCCGATCAGAGATAGATTACTTACAGATTCGATATTTTATATCTGAGTGTAAAAAAATATGGTTGCTTTTAATTTTGATAAAGATTCCATTATTATTATAGTTTGTAAAATTTATGTTGGTACTAAATACTAATATTATAACAGCAGAACAGAATTGTCAATTTTAGAAATAATGTTTCCTTATTTTTCTTTTGCTTATTTTATGCCCAAGTTCCTTTATTTTTAAACATTTAGGTACCTACTTGTTAGACACATATATAGATCAATTTTAGTGGAACATATTTCTATTATAATATGATTTTATATCACAGGGATATCATTTTCGGTTATTAAGCTTTTATACAAAATTATAATATCGTTGTTGTTATAAAGTAGTAAACATTTCCTAAATTGCTTTTGGTAATATTTTAACGATTTGTTTACCAAAACGATGCTCCCTTGAAAATTAAAACAAATAGGAACCTAATGGCATTTTAAATAAGTTGCCTTGGTAATTATCGCACATTTGACTTATTTCAAATAGTATGCATATTTTACAAAAAAAAGGGAAATTTGTGAGAATTGTAAACAAAAAATTACTTAGACTTAGATTAAGACTTTAGTGCTTTGCATTTTCATAAAATGTTTGCTCCCTCGTTTAGCTGCTGTTTATTTGTTTCACAGTTTTTCTAACGATTATTAAATTAACAAGAAAGTTAGTAAAGTTGCACGGGGTCACGTTATCAGACGAAAAAACTTAATATGAAAAAACAAAATATTTGCTAAAATTTACAAAATGAGAACATGTATTATTATTGTCGGCTATAGGTTACTTGTGATGTCAGTGACCTAAATTTTAAAGACTTTTCTGTTTTGCATATTTGGTTCTTCAACAATACTGACTGAATTTTTTCTGTCTGTCCTTAATTTAAAAATATACAAACCATATCACATTCTTCGGGATCAGCGACCATGCCCTTCATTTTGTACCGGATGCCCTCCTTTGCGAGGCGACTAGCGAATTCCTCACCAGTACCAGTTTGTGACCCGTAGAAAACTACAAGGCTTCTTCCAGATGTTTGCAACTTTTTAATAAACGAGTTTTCTATTATTTGTATAGATCCAGCCGGCCTGTTGAAAAACAAAAACATAACGCTTATTATTTGTATACTTATCTACGGTATCATGTAAAATACGAAGGACATCTCATTTAAACCACTACTACTATATTATATTTACTATAGTACATGAGCGTAATATGGTTATGGTCACTTTCTTATAACTCAAAAAGGATGGTTTTGTGTTACCATACCTCTTCATCGTTCAAATTATAAAGGATCAAACGGTCGATGCTTTATCAACTCTCCCCGAGGCCCAAGACCTGCGGGGCAGAAAGCCCCACGCTGAAGACATCGAACGCTTATCGACGCTATTTTGACAGTTAACATTATAGTAAATATTTGTATGGTGTATTGTAATTAGTGTTTCCAAGTGCTCCTAATTATTGCCAAAGTTTGTTAGCTATTTTTTCTTAATATATTAGTTATAGTATATGACGCTGTGTTTTTGTCCCTGTCCTTCTCTTAGTTTTGGCCTTACAGGACGGCAAAGCTTAAGGTGACCATACCTATTACCCTCACGTATCTTATTTTAAGAAAAATAACACACTTTTACTATATTTATACTGCTGTATAAAAAAATAATACTACATATTTATTTCAGTTGTGACAACTGAAATAAATATGTAGTATTAATATATGCAATAAGATAGATATTTTTACTGTAAATGTAAGATAATAACATGCTAAACCTAATATTTATAAGAAAACACGATGCTAGCGTAAATAAATATTATACTAGAATGTTAAGAGGATAGAGTAAGTCAGCTCAAATTCTAATTTCGTCCCCATTTCCCCGCGCGTCGTATGCTATGTACCGATATGTTTGTAATCACTAATACCGTAAGTAGAAAGGTCGTTAGACACTTATTTCATTAGGTTTATCATATTTATGCCTGTTTCTTAACGCCAAGCCAGCCGCTTCTTATTTTTATCACGGTTATTTCCCATTTTAATTTTACGTCGTACTGTTGCGTAATGTATATTCTGATCGTAAGCGACACAACTTCTCCCTTCAAAAGCCTAAGCGATACTAACAGGCGACAGGAATCAAGCTCAAGACGCCGATAGTTTAGGTAATTTCTTTTTACAGTGAAAATAATGGTATTTTAAAAAAAGTAAATAACATAAGCATTTGTTTATAGTTAGTTCAGTTAGTATGCAAAGTTTCATGATCTTATTTAAAGTATTTTTTGAATAACAGCGGTTTATTGTTTATTTTGGAGGTAACTTTGGATTTTTTTTCTATCGAGAAAATTTTACGAAATCGTGTTTTCGTCTAACATAATTATTAACATTAATCCTCAACTTTACCATATATTTATTTCAAAATTAATGCTGCAATATTTTCGGCATAACGAAGGATCTTGCTAAGCCATTTGACATTATATTTCCCCTTAAGTGTTTCACACTATTTTTATTGTCACGTACAATTACTAATACCTTTTTATACGATTATATAAAACGTTATCTTTAGAACTGCTTGTGCATTAACTGATAACACCTACATAAACATAATATGATACAGCATATCTTATATATATATATATATAATATCTTTTTTATTATAATAATCTTTTATTTAATATAATACAGTTTTGCGATTCTTAAGGGTATTTAAGCATGTTAAAAAAACGAGTTGCTTTTGGATTTTCCCACTAGCTAGCTTGTTCTTATAATATAAAACATATTAATTCCTGATTTGTTTATAAGTGCTTCAAATTTTAATATATGCATAATCATTCCATTTCCTTAAAAAGTTCATTTTAATAGCATTCGTAATATTAGCTTACTGAATCATTAAATGCCTTATATATTTATTGTACGATAAGAAAATGAAAATTTTGATAACATGCTATTTACAAAAACTCTAGATTGAACGATTTTAAATTATAAATAAGAATATTACACATCGTGGACTCGAGACAGTACTGGACTGCTGCGCATGGATAACTTACACAAAACAGGCTACTGATGCGCTACCACCACTGAGGACTAAAGCAAGGTTTAGACGAAGCCAGTAACGCTGGCGCCAGTCCTCAGACAAGCCAGCGCTGGCCTGGCCCGTGTTGTTTAGATGAGGCCAAACGGATTTCATTTCATTACTATATTATACATATGAAAAAAAAAAAAAAATATATATATATATATAGCGTTAAAGACAAATATATGTTCAGCTGAAATATAAAAAAAAAGAACTTAACCTTGCCCATACCTCGTGTGTCTGCATAATCATTATTTAATATGTGAGTAATAAAAACGGGTCGGTAACTAAAATCTTTATATTTACGAATATATATATCGTTACCGACGTCATCAAGCAAAAAAAGAGGTAATGTGCTATTATGGAGTTTTTACTGTTGTGTCAGATTCGTAATCTGTAGGTTTGTAATACACATTAATAATTTTTTTGAGATCTTTATTGGAGATATATTAAATAACACTTTTATTGTATGCAAATTAACAAAGCGAAGTGCTTAGTAAACGCGATTCCTATAATTTTGTGGCTTTATTTTAAGTAAACTCAATCAATAATGGTGTTACGATATTTTATAAGAATAGGTAAGAATTTATTTTTAATCATATGTATTTAACATTTACGTATACTCTACTATTTATATATAACAAATCTCTACTATGTATTTAGAAAATATAAATATATATAAAGAGAAAGATTTCCAACTGAACATACTGTACAGAATCACTTAATGAGCGATTCCACGTCGAAAACTTCATGTTTAATGGTGGCCACACACGGTCAGTTCAACTGATCAGTTGAAACTAAAACTGTTGATACTTTTTAAAATATCGGATTTTTGATATATCCATTAATAAACTTATATGTAAAACTCCCATATTAATAATATTTATAATGATCGATATATCGAAAATCCACTATTTAAAAAAATATCAACAGTTTTAGCTTGAACTGATCAGTTGGAATGATCAGTTGAACTGACCGTGTGTGGCGTCCATTACAGTTTTTTTTTTCAAGGGCAATATCGTAATGATGTGAGCAGTGCCGAAAAACAAAATAAAAAAATAACAAAACCAAGTTATCTTTCACGTCGAATACAATCATTATTATAAGCTAAAATACTTTATTTCAAGCATTATTATAATGGAATATATTATAGTCTTCAAGTGCAACACAAAATCTAAATTACGAAAAGGATTCCATTTTATATTAGAAAACATTACCATAAAATCATCAAAACTGTTTCGGATATAAACTTACCGATTTTAAGTTAAAATGTCAAAATACATGTAATATTAAATATCCAAAAAAAATTTAGCTCTTTTTATTTAGTCAATTATTTTATAGGTATGATTATTTTAAAAATACATCACGCACAGACGCCGTCCGATTCAGTAGCAGTGGTGTCAAGTTAATTGAGTTTTCTCCTAGGGTGTCGGGGCCAAAGATTTCTTTGGTCGGGGCGACTAAAAATTATGATTGGCGACCGTTGGCAATTTAGGCTACTTCGGAAAAAATAAGGGCGATTTTTGGCTATATAATTCGCTCTCTTTAAGTATCTTAGGATACAAAATAAAAATGTGTGTCATGAAACATGTCTTTGACAGTTACCTTGCGCTCTCCCCACCTCGCGCAGTCACGTACACACGCATATAGAACATTGCAGTGTGCGTCAATATTACGCCGTTCCTGAGCGATCGCGTAGATTTTGACTTGCGCATATTTGAATAAAATCGTTTATAAATTGTATATTTTGTACGAGAGCGAGAGAGAGAGAGAGAATGAAACAGGAGATTGGCAGCACCATCTTCCTGATAACAACTCAATACACATAATTAAAAAAGCTGCGATTGCACATCCGTCAATCACATTAAATCAATTTATGGCAAATATCCATAGAATTCTGATAGACTGTAATGAATGACGTAATAAGAATAACAATGTGAATTATGACATAAAAAGGCTTGCAATTCTCGATAATTGGCGACATGAAAAAGATGGTTACAATCTAATATACCATACTAATATTATAAATGCGAAAGTGTGTTTGTTTGTTTGTCCTTCTTTCACGTCGCAACAGAGCGTCGGCATGGCATGATTTTTTGTATGGGGATAGTTCGGTGGCTGTAGAGTGACATAGGTTACTTTTTTCCGCGGAAAAACATCTCATTCCCGTGGGAAAATAGAATATGTTGCACAAGTTTGTCCTTCTTTCACGTCGCAACAGAGCGTCGGCATGGCATGATTTTCTGTATGGGGATAGTTCGGTGGCTGTAGAATGACATAGATTACTTTTTTCCGCGGAAAACATCTCATTCCCGTGGGAAAATAGAATATGTTGCACAAGTTTGTCCTTCTTTCACGTCGCAACAGAGCGTCGGCATGGCATGATTTTTTGTATGGGGATAGTTCGGTGGCTGTAGAATGACATAGATTACTTTTTTCCGCGGAAAAACATCTCATACCCGTGGGAAAATCGAAAAGATTGCAAAATTTAATTCAGAGCGTCAAGCTACTTTAATAGCTTCTGAAACACCTTCTCAAAGTCAGCGAAGGCGTCTTGAACAGGCAGATCGTCAAGCTACTTTAAGAGCTACTGAAACACCTGCTCAAAGTCAGCAAAGGCGTCTTGAACAGACAGAGCGTCAAGCTACTTTAGGAGCTACTGAAGCACCTGATCAAAGTCCGCAAAGGCGTCTTGAACAGGCAGAGCGTCAAGCTACTTTAAGAGCTACTGAAACACCTGCTCAAAGTCAGCAAAGGCGTCTTGAACAGTCAGAGCGTCAAGCTACTTTAAGAGCTACTGAAACACCTGATCAAAGTCAGCAAAGGGATCTTGAACAGGCAGAGCGTCAATCTACTTTAAAAGCTACTGAAACACCTGCTCAAAGTCAGCAAAGGCTATTCGAACAAGCGGAACGTCAGGCCGCCTTAAGAGCCGCGGAAACACCTGATGAAACTCAACACACACTCATTGAGCAAGCTGAACGTCAATCTACTATAAGGGTATCAGTAACACCAGAACAGACACAGGC